TTTTTAAGTCACCGCCTTTTTATAGTTTCCTACGTGTATTCGGGTGTCTATGTTTCCCTTATCTTCGTCCCTATAATAAACACAAGATGGACTTTCAGTCTGCTCCATGTGTTTTCTTAGGTTATCCTGTGTCTTTTAGGGGGTGGTACCGCTGTATGGACTTAACTACTGGGAAAACCTTCATCTGTCGCCATGTTCGCTTCGATGAGGAGGTGATGTGTAGCAAAAATAAGATGTGAGCTCGGGTGTGTAATGTCGTCCTCAGGGGATTGGGGGTTATGGCACGCAATATGCAATTACAAGAAACTAGACACTAGTATAAGGAAATCAACAAGAAGCTAAGCAAATCATAACGAGATTGAGGCTACGGTAACTAAACAAAGTAACACAAACACATATTAACAAGATGTAAACACGAAATAAAGAAATAGGACTCAAGCTAGGGAGCATTATCTTCTAGATACATAGCACAATCTAAGGATTGGGGAAAATCACACAACCAAGGAATAGAGGAGATGCACATAGGAATCCTAGTCTATAAGTCACTTACGTGAACAAATTAACAAGGATTAGAACAAGGAATTGCCCCACTCTCGTGGTGAATCAACTCCAAGTTCTTCAAGAACACAAAGCATCAAAAGCCCCCAACTTCCCCCATTTTCATAGGAAAAATCGGGTTTATGCAAGGAGTGACTTGGAATCTTAACCCAACTCTCATTGAGGCCAAGAATCCTCCAAAACATGTCAATGAATGTTGTACACCAAGCATTAACAAAATACAAACACAAATCCTTCATAAACTCAAGAACCCTAGGTTAGAGTTCTTCCCCTTTTTGCAATAATCACAAATCAAGCATCAAGATAGAAAATACAACCCTAACTCAAGTGCATAAACTAATTACTCATGATTCAATATTATAAAGAACACAAAAACACAAGTGTAAAGCATAAACATTGCAAGATAAAGAGATAAAAGGAAGGAAAACTTCTCTAAAGAAATTGGATGGTGGAATCTTGAAATGTTGGAATCCAAGTTTCAAATCCAAGACTACAAGCTTCAAAAGTGTTAAGAAACATAAATCTAAGCCTAATCTAACCTAAAAATATAAAGGAGAGTGAAAGAGAGTGTCTAGGGTTCTAACAAGAGTCAAAACCAAGTAGAAATGACCAAAATTCGTGCATATATAAAATAGAGCGCAGGTGACACGGCCAGGGACATGGCCCTGTCCCTGGCCGTGTCCAAAAATAGCAGTGAACACTGGAATTGCACAGAAAATACACGGCCATAGACACGGCTGTGTAGTTGGATGTGTCTTTTGGCCTTCAAAACATCAGAATTTGGAACTATGATCTTCAAGAAAGTTGTAGCCCTTCGAGTCTTCTTTCTATTGGCGCAAGAATCACTTCGTTTGGATATTTCTAGGACGAGATATAGTCCAAAACCCAAAATAGTGGTCAGTTTTGAATTGTAAGTTTGGAACTTCAACTTCAATAATGATTTTGACCCCTGTGGCTTCCTTTTTAGGATTTGATGATTTTATAATAATTGTAACCCTTTGAGTCTTCTTTCCAATGGAACAAGAATCACTTAATTTGGATACTTCTAGACCGAGATATGGCCCGAAAACAGAACAGTGGACAATCCATGCGAGAATTTCAGCTTGTTGACACTTGTTCCACTTTTGCCTTGGTTTAATTTGTCCATATGATCAACAACATTGAAAGCATCACTCTTTGGCTCCTTTGGAAGTGTTGCATCCATCTCCTTAGCTTCACCATGGCTCCCCTTGACTCCAAATGCATCCAACATGATCTAAAATCCTTCATTTCTACTCAAAGATAATGAATTGTGCATAATGGATCAAATGAGCAAAATAAAGATCATTTTGAACAACATTGTGGCACTTCATAAGCAAAACGAGGCTAAATATGGGGTAGACATGGGGTATAAATATGAACAATTATGCACTTATCAGAAGGTTTTTCCTTTTGATTTTCCTTCTTCTATGCAGACTTCTGGTGCTACAGTACGTGTAGACGAGTTATCGTGGGGTGTCAGTTCTTTGGCTCTGGTGGTTACTCCTGAGCCGTCTGGTAGTCCCTCTATTTCTGGCTTGGTGGGTCCGGCTCCTGTCCCTCGTGTGGCGTCTACTGGGCTCCGGAAGGCTGCTTCGGTGCCTAAGCAGGGGTCTCATCCGATGCTACTCCGGCATATGGTGGGCGACTCCAGTCAGTTTCAGGCGTTGGTTTCTTCTGTTGACTCTGCTGATCCTACGTGTTACTCTTAGGAGATCCGGTATCCGAAGTGGCTTGAGGCTATGGATCAGAAATTCAATGCCTTGATGCATAATTATACATGGATGTTGGTGCCTAAGTAGCCGGGAATGAATGTGATAAGCTGTAAGTGGGTGTTTCGTACCAAATGCAGGTGGATGGTACTATTGAGTGGCATAAGGTGAATTTGGTTGCCAAGGGCTTCAATCAGGTTCATGGGGATGACTTTTTTGACACGTTCAGCCCAGTTCTTAACACTACCACTGTACGTCTTTTGCTTTCTTTAGCTTTGTCTCATGGTTGGACGTTACGGCAATTGGTCGTACACAATGTTTTCTTGAATGGTCATCTTTCTGAGACTGTATACATGCGTCAGCCTCCTGGGTATGCTGATCCTATTGTGCCTAGTTTTGTTTGTCATCTTCAGAGGTCTTTGTGAACACCCAAAATTTAATTTTATAAATCCAATTGCTAGAAATTACAAAATAGTCATTTTCACTCCATTAAAATTTTTAAAATAAATTGGTGTTTGAATAAATTATTTTGAGTTACATTTTAAGTTAATCCAACACCAAAACTTATTTTTATTCCAAAATCCTAAATTTTCGGGTACTTCGTGTACCAAGTTTTAAACTGAGAAACCAATCTGAGTGAAACTGGGAGAAATCTGAACCAAGTGTTTGTTTGGGAATCATTTTTGGAAAAATACATTTTGGACCCCAAACTATTTAAAATCACATTTCTAGTCTATGGTCCATGTTGCAAGGTGGACATAAAGCCTTTCTCCTCTTGTCTGATATTTCTAAGACAACCACCAAATTACCATCTTGCCCTCCACCAATCATTGAGTATCATCCTAGGGTTTTGCACCCTATAAAACCCACCTTATTCCTTCATTGATTCCCTGATCTCTTTCTTTGCCTCACCAAGGTTTTGTGCCAAGTAGAAAGAAGAACAACAGTAAGTTTCATCTCCTTCTTCATTCAATTCTAGCCTTCCATTTCCCTTCTAGCTTTCATCCATTCTCTAAGGTTCTAGTCTTAAGCTTTGAATGGTTTGTTTGGGGAGTTTAGGTGGTGAAGGAGGTGCTATCTAAGTTGGGAGGAAGAAGAGATCCAAGCAAGAAGAAGAGGTCTACAAAGGTATAACCCCATGGACTCCCTCTTCAAATTTTATCTCTATGAAGCCTTGTTTATTATGTAGAAATGAGTAGAAATGCTAGATATTGATGTGTTTGAGCCAGGAAGTGATCTATTACTTGTCTATTATGTGTTGATAATGTTTTGGATGAGTTGGAGTTGGCTGAGATTGAAGTGCAGATAAAGAGAGTACATCTGGTGCACAGACAGTGTGCACCAGATGAAGTAACGGCCCTAGCCAACGGCCCATCAAGGGGGTCGTTGGCTAGAGCTGTGGCCGGTCGGGCCTAAGGCATGGCCCCAGGAGAGGGCCGTTGCCTAGGCCCGGCAATGTAGCGGCCTGAGGGGGCGGACTTTGCAGAGCCCCGCCCCATAGGCCCTGAGTGTCTTATGTGTAGTGGCCGGGCCCTTGTGGCTCAGCTACGTGTCATTTCAGACCAGGTGTCACGAGCCCTTGTGGCTCGGTACCTCGAGGCTGTTTTGACGCACGTTTTGGTTTTGATTTCGTTGAATTTGGATTAGAGACGAGCATGTTATGGTGGATTTTGTGATGAAAATGCTTCACAGTGGTATAATTTGTGTTCACTGCCTTTGAGTATTGTTGTATAATATCTTCCTGATGCTATTTATGAAATGAATAGAGAAGCATGATCACTTTGTGAATAAGAATTATTAGAAAAGCATGAGTAGAATGTGTTGTATGTTCAATGAAATTTGAAGCCTATCTTGATGGTAGAAATATATAGAGTTGTTATATTGCAAACCGAGCATGATATTGTGTTCTTGAGAGTTCTATGTGATATATATATATATATATATATATATATATATATATATATATATATATATATATATATGTATATATATATACATATATATATATATATATATATATATATATATATATATGGATTTAGAGCATGTTGTATAGTATTCTTGCATTCTAAGTATATCATGTTTTAAAAGTGCATAAATGGCCAACGTGAGCCCAAGTACTATTTTCAAAAACTCATGAGCATGTGGTATATCATTACTTTGTTGCGTTGTGAAATTGTTGAGTTGCATATATATATATATATATATATATATATATATATATATATATATATATATATATATATATATATATATATATATATATATATATATATATATATATATATATATATATATATCAGTGAGGTTTTGGAGGACCCCGTTTGGACTATGTCATCTCGGATGATTATTATGGACATTGCGGTCCCAGTATATGTAACGCGGTGTATTCCCACGTTACGAGGTTGGAAACTGTCCGCCAGGCTTGGTATCCTGGTCAGGGGGTGTGCACGCTAATAGTTCGATACCTAATTCCACAGAGTTTGAGCATAGAACCAAGAGAGTGGTTCGGTGGACGAGCAGCGTATTAGGTCGGCTAGACGCCGTGCCCGGATAGGTTCATTCACACTATGGTGAAGTTCCTACCTCGTCCATCTATAAAGAAAGTGAGTCATTGCGACTCTAAGAAAAGAAAGAAAGAAGTGAGTCATTGCAACTCAAAGAAAAGAAAGAAAGAAAGCAAGTCATTATGGAAACAATGGTGGCGGAGATATGTCTAGGAGGATCACGGGACGCAATCCACCGAGTTACTTAGGCCAGGAGGATCCAGAGGTTCTCGAGAGTTGGATCCGTACGTTTGATAAGTTGTTCGATGTGGTAGGATGCCCGATGGACGAGCGAGTGGACGCTGCTGTGTACTACCTTCATGGAGAGGCCGACCATTGGTGGGTGATGGAGGGACCGACTGCTCAGGCGAGAGAGGGGTTTGACTGGGAGATGCTCAAGATGGTACTGAGGGAGAGATTCTATCAGGAGCATGTTAAAGCTGCCAAGTATGAGGAGTTCTTGCATCTTGAGCAAGGAATCTCGACTGTCCAGGAGTATCATGCCCGCTTTGTGGCGCTATCTCAGTTCGCTCCTACCTTGGCACCCGATGAGGCTAGTAGAGCTCGTAAGCTTATCCGAGGACTATACTATGATGCCCAGAAGTCATTCTCCGCGACGAGGTTTGCTACGTTGACCGAAGCCTACGACGCAGCTGCTGGTTACTTTAGGATTCAACAGTTGCATCGAGATGCCATGCAGGGATTGAAGAAAAAGAATGAGGGTGTGGATTCACAGTCAAACAAGGGGCACAGGTTCAATTTGACTGAGGGTGTGGATGCTATATTGTAAATTTAATTTAATATAAATAATAATAATATTTATTATTATTATTATTATTATTATTATTATTATTATTATTATCATTAAAATATTAATATTTTACAAGAAATAACTTTGTAATAGATTTATGTAAAGAAAATGAACAAAAAATTATCTTTTTTTTTTTTTTTACTTTAAGCAAAAAAAAAAAAAAAAAAAAAAAAAAAAAAAAAAACATTTCTAACTTTCACCAAACACTAGAAAATTAAAATATTTTCTGAAATATAATATATTTTCTATAAAAAAAAAATTCATATTTCCATACGGAGCATAATTCTATCTTATGATAATTTTATCTTTGTTAAGAGAAAATTCAGAATATGCAAGTGAGAAAGGATCATCTCTTCTTCATTCAACTATATTGTAGGAATATATATACATCCAAGGTAATGTAACGGAAGCAATAATGGAAATAATTACATAACCGTTACAATACTATATAATAATGTCCATAGTAAGTATAATATTTATAACACTCCCCCTAGGACATTATTTGATCACGATCTTGTCTCGTCAAAAACTTGGTAGGAAAACCCCGTGGGAAAAACCTAGACAAGAAAAGAGTACAATAGAAATTATATTCACACCTCATTAAAAACTTCACTAGGAAAACCACGTGGGAAAAACCTAGTTGAAGAAAAGAGTACATGATATATGTAAAACATATATTGTATTGGGTGCCTCATTAAAAACCTTAACTTGAGAAAACCCTGTGGGAAAAACTTAGTTAAGGGAAAAAGAGTACAACCAAAAAGCCTTCAGGGCACAATCTGCAGAATCTTTAGGATTTTTAGAGTTTGTCCATTTAAGCAATTATTTTCCAACATTTCCCCATTTACATTATTATATCATAGTCATACCTCGTTAAAAACCACACTAGAAAACCCAATGGAAGAAAACTAGCGAGGAAAAGAGTACATGATATTTATGTATTTATGTATTTATGTGTTGCAAATAATGCGCAACTGTTAGTCTTTTATGACTTAATTTCAGGATTTTACATCCAATCTTCCGGATTGATTCGAGTAAATGTACTTCAACTAAGGCTGAGATATGGTCCAAAAACCAAACAGTGGTCTGTTTTGGATTCTAAGTTTGGAACTTCAACTTCAAGGACACTTTTGAAACCTGTGGCTTCATTTTTAGGCTTTGATGACTGTATAAGAATTGTAGCCCTTTGAGTCTTCTTTCCAATGACACAAGAATCACTTCATTTCAACACTCCTAGGCTGAGATATAGTCAAAATACCGAACAGTGGTTGAAATGGGTGAAAATTGCAATGCATTGATCTTTTGCTCCTCTTTTGTTTGGTTTTCCCAAATGACCAACACCATTGAAAACACCACTCTTAGGCTCCCTTGGAAGTGTTTTAGCCATCCTCTTAGATTTCCTTGGCCCCCCTTGACTCCAAATGCATCCAACATGATCTAAAATCCTTCATTTCTACTCAAAGATAATGAATTGTGCATAATGGATCAAATGAGCAAAATAAAGATCATTTTGAACAACATTGTGACACTTCATAAGCAAAACAAGGCTAAATATGGGGTAGACATGGGGTATAAATATGAAGAAATATGCACTTATCAACTCCCCCACACTTAAACCTTCGCTTGTCCTCAAGCAAAAACAAGAAATAAATAACCAACCTAGCAATGAAATTGATCATTCTCCCACTTTGCACAACCTATCAAACCACAAACAAACTTGCTACAACACAACTTGTTTCAAGAATCATTTTAGCCTTCCACACAAGTTCAATTCTTAAGCCAATAACCAAGCACCAAAATTATTAAAGTATGTGAGGATCAAGTGTGTACAAATGCTAAGTTCAGATTATGCAAAACTTGGCTTTGAATGAGATTCCATAGGCTTGCCCTTCATACTCCCACTTGTTCAACTCTAAGATTGCATACTAAGACCAAGTAGGTCTTTATTAGGCTTGTAATGGGGCTAATGGTGAATGGCTAACAAAGAAGAGGTATATGAATAAAACAAAGGAGAGAACTTCACATTTATTCACAATTGTAGCTAGAAGAGATATAACTTCTATGGACAAAGGAGCAATTTACAATTGACACAAAGCAACACTCTAAAGAGGTGGGGCTTGAGTACAACTTTCAACACAAACTAGAATCAATCTTCAAACTTTTATTCTTCTTCATTTTCTTTTCATTTTTCTCATTTTATCTCTTTTTCATGACTTTTTTCTTTCAATTTTCTCAACATTCTCTTTTTTTCATTTTTTTTTTTCAAATCAACCAACAAACTTATTCAATTAATCAAAACCCCCACACTTAGACAAAATTATCATGAGGATTGCTAACAAAACAAGCTCCAATAAAGATCTCTTCCAAGAAAAAGAATAAATGCTCTATTCTCTCAAGGGTGGAGGGAAACATTTTGGCTAGGGGTTAAGGGTTAAATGGTGAGTGTTAACACAAGGAAAAACAATCACAATGTAGGGACAAGTGTTTAGCACTTATTAAACAAACAAATGGCTCAACGAGGACAACTAGGGATAAAAACATATGTAAGGATAGGTTTAAAGGCTTGGGCTAAACAAAAATGGCCTAAATCATTTTTAAACATGCAAATCTTAGACTTCACTTAGGGAGTAATGAGGCAAGTTCTAGCAAAACAAGTTAACAACCATGACCGGAATCTCATATAAGCCTTCACTAGCAAAGCATAACACACAAGATCATGAATTGATTCAATTATTAAGTGGTTAACAAGGTTATTGGCAAGAGAATAGATCAATCATGAGTTACCCATTGGCTCATCAATCACAAGTTGAATTGCAACAAGTTCCACCAAAACAAACCACCAACCAACAAAGAGGGAGTAATCACAACTTCAAGCAAGGAAAGACAATTTACGAAATATTATCCAAGCAAAGTTTCAAAAATTTTCAAAAAATTTCCAATTTTTGTCCTCCCCCACACTTAGAAAATACATCGTCCTCGATGTGAAAGACAACAAAGAACAAGGGGGGAAAGATAGCACAAGGAGCACAATCTCTACTATCTACACAAAGTAAAGCATTATACACAATTAAAGAAAGTAGATCGAGAAGGTAGATGAGACTCCCCTAATGAATCTCTTGTGTCAAAGAATCATCATGAAGCCTTCTTGGAATTGAGCATACTCCTTAGTGTCATTCCTAGAGTCAAGATCATATATACATGAAAGCACAAGTGAAAGCATGATATATCAAAAATAAAAGTGTAAAGAAAAATAAAGAAGAAAGTAAAGTACAATAAAATGAAAGATAACATGGGGTGCCTCTCATGAAGTGCTAAGTTTAACGTCGCTAACTCGACTCAACCTCTCAAGGAACTATCCATGAATGATTGGATGAAGATGAGTTCCTTTTCTCCATCCACTTTCTCTTCAATAAATATCCTTAAATGTCGGGCGTTAAGGAACTCCTTTAAGCTCAAAAGTAGCATATTCTCATGAAAGAAATTGCAATGACCCACTTCTAAGAATATGCTCTCTTCTTCAATTTTCGTCCCTTTTTCTTCAACCTTTTCTTCCAAATAGCACTTCAAGTGGTGGCCATCAATATGTTCCCTTAAGTCGTTGTAGTATAGTGGTGAGTATTCCCGCCTGTCATGCGGGTGACCCGGGTTTGTTCCCCGGCAACGGCGCCAATTTTTAATTGTAGCAAAAATATAAGATGTGAGCTCGGGTGTGTTATGTCGTCCTCAGGGGATTGGGGGATATGGCACGCAATACGCAATCACAAGAAACAGAAGCTAAGAAAACTACAAGTTTAAGGAAATGATAAGACTAACACATATACACAAAGATAAACACAAAATAAAGAAATAGGACTCAAGCTAGGGGGAGCATTATCACATGCTTTAACAACCTAAGGGATTAGGGAGCATTATCAGATGCTTTAACAACCTAAGGGATTAGGGAGCAACCTAAGGGATTAGGGAGCATTATCATCTAGATGCTTTAACAACCTAAGGGATTAGGGAGAACAAGTAAGCAAGGAATAAAGAGGGAATGCACGTAGGTATCCTAGTCTACGAACAACCAGGATTAGAACAAGGAATTTCCCTACTTTCGTGGTGAATCAATTCCAAGTCCATCAAGCACACAAAGCATCTAAAGCCCCCAATTTCCCCTATTTTCGTAGGAAGAAATCGAATCTGTGCAAGGGGTGGCTTGGATTCATCACCCAACTCCCGTTGAGGCAAGAAATCCTCCAAAAACAAGCTACTGAATGTGTACATCAAACATTAACAAGATATAAATACAAAACCTTCACAAACACATGAACCCTAGGTTGGATCTCTTCCCTTTTTTTGCAATAATCACAAATCAAGCATCAAGATAGAAAATACAACCCTAACTCAAGTCCATAAACTAACTACTCATGAATAAATAGCATAAAGAACACAAAAACATAAGTGTAAAGCATAAACATTGCAAGATAAAGAGATAAAAGGGAGAAGAAGCTTCTCTATTGAAAATGGACGGTGGAATCTTGAAATGTTGGAATCCAAGCATCAAATCCAAGATTACAAGCTTCAAAAGTGTTAAGAAACCTAAATCTAACACTACAATATGAAAGGAAGTAAAAGAGAGAAGTTAGGACTCAACCATAGGTCAAAACCAAGTAGAAATGACAAAAAATCGGAGTTTATAAAATTGCAGAGCACAGTGACACGGCCAGGGACATGGCCATGTCCCTGGCCGTGTCCAAAACGGCAGTAGTTACTGGAATGCACAGAAACACTACTACAGAAAAAGGATTTAACGTCGCTATTATAACGTCGGTTTTTCGAAAAACCGACGTTAAATATTTAAATTTAATTTTTATTTTTTTAAAAATACATATGGCGTCGGCTTTTTGGTAAATCCGACGCTGTATCTGTAATAAAAAAAAATAAATAAATATATTATACGGCGTCGACTATTTATAAAGCCGACGCCGTATATCCTATTA